CCGTCCACGGGGAGTTTTTGGGCAAACCAGGATCAAATGACACGCCCGGGGAAGCAGCATCCTGTTGGCATTGCTCGGGCGTGTGCATTTTTTCTCGGCGGGGACCATCGAGGAGCATCCTGGATCGCCGAGCGAAGAAAAGCACGCACGAAGCCCAAGCATGCACGGGGAATGGACGTCCAGGCGATGGCAAGTCCTTGGGTCAAAACCTGCTCCCTTCCCGGACATCCGACGACCTTCGGCCACGCGCAGAGGGGGGCAGGGGGAGGGGGGAAGGCTTCTCAGAAGCACCCCTGCTTCTTACAAGGCGCGGACCTTGTCTGCAGATGTGAGGCCGGCGCCTTCTAAGAAGCAGCCTGCTTCTGAGAAGCGTTCCCCCCTACCCCCATACCTCCTTGCGCGCGCCGCCAACCTGTCTCCATTCCCAGACATCCGACGACCTGTGTTTTTCAAGGCGCGGCCCCTTTCAGTGCGCGACCCCTGGGGTCCCGACCCCACCAGCGCTGCCTGTCTTTCGCCCCGAACCTGCGCTTTTGATGGCCCCAGAGCACAACAAAAAGCGGGCTCCGGAGGCCGACTTCAAGGACACCCGCCAGCATTGCAAAAATCATACCGTCCGAGAGCAGGGTCCTTCGTTTGCTCGTGTGTCTTGCAGCGTCTCTTGCAATGTCTCTTGCGATGGCTCTTGCAGAGTCTCTTGCAACTTGCAGAGGCCCGGCTCATTAGCAGTGCCTTAGGCCTCACAGATGGGGGTCCGTGCCGCATCGCTGGTGCATCGGCGATGCGGCTCGATGGGCAGTCTGATCTTCTCCGCCCCAGCGTCGCCGACGCACCGCCAATGCATTGGCGATACCTCGGCGAACGGGTGCTATCCTCCGACCCGGTGTGCTCGGAGCACCCACATATATATATATATATACACATATATATATATATATATATATATATATATATATATACGTGCAGCACACCTAGGGCGATCAGGGGGGTCATCGGAGACGTCCCGGAGAACCCTAAGACAGCACAAGAGCGCTCCAAGAAGCCGTCATACCGCGAAAGATCGCTCCAAAACGTACCAAGAGGCCTCCAAGAGCACCCCCAAGAAGGCCCCAAGAGGGAAAAATCATTGATTTAATGTAGGTGTTTGGTGAATTTGGGGTTCTCCTCTTTTCGGCTTCCCGACGCTCCAAGACAGCTGTCTTCTGGGCGTCCGAAGTCGCCTGGGAGGCTCCAAAATCGCCCCACAGCCATCCGAAAGCGCTTCCAGGCAGTCCAAAAAAGCCCCAAAACGGCGCACCAGGAGTCCAAAATGGCCCTAAGAGAGCCGCATGGCGGCCCAAGATGGCCCCAAGACAACCTCCGAAGCATTCCAAACCGTGACCGGGGCGTTCAGGGAGACCGCGGTTAGAGGCAGGTTGGCCTTAGGAAGCCCCAGAGGCCCCCAGAACACGCCCAGGATGCCTCCAGAAGGCTTTAAGAAAGCTTGAGAACTTTGGTGAGGCTCCCAGAGGCTCTCCAAGGAGGAGCCTCCGCAAAAAGAGCTGAGGAGGATGGGGAGAATGCCCAGGGTATGGCGAGAATGAGGAACAATAAACATGGATGAAGGATAACGAGCAACATTGTTATAACGGCGATGCCAGAAAAAGGCAGCAAGGAGTTATCGTTAAAGTGTCCGCTTGACCTTCCTGCCGTTTCCGCCTGCATAGCAATCTTCAAGGACCAAGGTGCATGGCGCGAAGCGCGATTGCAGTCTTGTGTGTATATATATATGTATATATATACATGTATATGTATATATATATATATATATATATATATATATATATATATATATATCCGTAAGGGCTTCGCCCCATGCCGCCGGCCCCCTGTCTCGGGTAATGGGAGATGCAAAAGCTAAATCATGAGGTCTGAGCGCCGCCGTGAAGCAGTGTCGGGACCTGTTGATTTTTTCGACCCTGACCCTACGGATCTGCGTCACGGGTGCCACCGAATATCAGAAATGTGGCAAATCCTTCGTGATTTTATACCCTGACCCTACGGATCTGCGTGAGGGGTGCCGCCGAATTTCAGAAGTGTTGTAAATCCCATGTGTTTTTGGACCCTGACCCTGCCGATCTGCGTGAGGGGTGCCGCCGAACTTCAGACATGTGGCACGCCCCCTATGTTTTTTGACCCTGACCCTGCCAATCTCCGTGAGGGGTGCCAGCGAATTTAAGAAATGTGGCACATCCCGTATGTTTTTGGACCCTGACCCTACGGATCTGCGTGAGGGGTGGCACCGAATTTATGAAATGTGGCAAATCCTCTATGTGGTTGGACCCTGACCCCGCCGATCTGCATGAGGGGTGGCACCGAATTTCAGACATGTGGCAAATCCTTTGTGTTTTTGCACCCTGACCCCGCCGATCTGCGTGAGGGGTGGCACCGAATGTCAGACATGTGGCAAATCCCCTGTGTTGTTGGACCGTGACCCCGCCGATCTGCGTGAGGGGTGGCACCGAATGTCAGACATGTGGCAAATCCCCTGTGTTGTTGGACCCTGACCCCGCCGATCTGCGTGAGGGGTGTCGAATTGTACCCACCCCAGCAATTCAGAGCACACGCTCAGGGCGTGGTAGAAATGCCCGCTTTGGGCCTCCAACCCTCGCGCGGTCCATCAACAAGGAACAGTAAGCAGCAATAAGCAGAACTGTAAAAGTGGAAACTGGAAGCTGCAACTGGCACAGGAAACTGCGAACCTTCGCCCTACAGCCTGGTGGCCCCACAAGGGGGCGGGCGGATATACATTGGCATTTTTTGCTGCTGCAAGCTAATCTTAGGAGACGGTGCGGCCTCAAAATTCACTGGATGCCAAGTATTGAAGTTGGGGAATTTCATTTTGGCGACGGCGCCATCTTGGTGAATCACGAAATGCCCTCGGTGCGCGATCGAAATTTGGCAGGGGGCTGGCGTAAGATCGCTCGCCAGCGGAAACCTACGAGCTCGCGCTGCTTGCTTTGGAGGAGGCGTCGTACACAGCTGCCCCACATAGAACGAACTGGGCGAAGCACAAGAGGTCCTCATGTCCTCGCCCCGCCCGTGCTCCCCCGACCACGGCTGCCTCCCGCCTCTCCAGGCCCCCCATCGCCGTCGTCGTCCTCCCCGGCCTCGTCGTGCTCCTCTCCCCCTCCTCCTCCTCCTCCTCCTCCTCCTCCTCCTCCTCCTCCTCCTCCTCCTCCTCCTCCTCCTCCTCCTCCTCCTCCTCCTCCTCCTCCTCCTCCCAAGCACGAGCGGCTGCGGGTGGGTTTCGCCTGTTTTGGCTCCAACTCGCCATGTAGCTGTCCTCAGCGCCTCGCCGTGGCGTGCTTGCGGCAACTGGGAGGATCCTGCGTATTCCATCGGCTCCGCTGGTATGCAGTATTCGATTGGTTGGCTAAGGCTGAGGGAATTCAGTTTCGCGCTTATCCCTTCTGGTGTATTGGCTGAGCCTGGCCCAGGCCCACGTGGCAAGCAAGGCGCCCTCCTTTATACTGGTCTGGGATGTTTATTATTTTTGTTCCTGCGAGTGGTCTGGTGGCGAGGCCGTCTGCGGCGGATGCGATCTCAGTTTGGTGCCTTGCGTCGCAATTATGCGCGTTGGGGTTCGAGGTTGCCCAGTGACCAGTGGGGTGTACTTGCGCCTCTGTGCTTTCCATTGTAGTGGGCCGTATCGAGCAGACTCCGTTTCGGCCGAGCCGCCATCTCCTTTTCAATGGAACCGCTCAATGCATACAGTGGTCATTTTTGCATTTGTTGCTGTCATGGTGCCTCGCTCTCTTTTCCGCTTTCCCATCACGGTGTGTGTCGCGAAGTTCGTCTACTCCTCGTTCGGCATCCTTCGGGTGTCTTGGCTGAGCCTGGCCAGCGCAAGGCAGACGTATTCTGTTTTGTCGCTGTTTCAGTTTCTGTATTGGCTGAGCCTGGCCCGCGCACGGCAGACGTATTGGGGGTGTCTGGAGTTGTGTGCAATAATGGTGAAGAGTATTCCGAGGGACCTGAGCATTTTTACTTCGTTGGAGTGCTGTGCAATAGTGGTGAAGGGGTATTTGAGGAACTGGTGCATCTTTCTTATTCTTCGTGCTCGTCGGCATCGCGGTGGTGGCATTGGGGGCGTGGTGGTTCCAGGTCAGTTTCTTTTTCTTGCTCACTTCAGCCGGCCGTGTACGGGTTGAAGTGCGTCTCCCTCCTGTGCGTCGCCTACTTCGACAAGCTCCGGGGGGGGACGTGTGTAATATGTTGGTGCCTCAGTGTTTCACGTGGTAGGCACTCGGTTGACTCTGTCACATGGTCATTCTCATTCTCATTCTCCTCCTCCTCCTCCCCCTCCTCCTCCTCCTCCTCCTCCTCCTCCTCCTCCTCCTCCTCCTCCTCCTCCTCCTCCTGGGTGTGCAGGACAGGCCTTTGGTGTCCTGGTTCACGGGGCCGCGCACCCCTGCGCGTCGGCCTCGCCTCGCGCCCGGCGCTCCGCCGCACCGGGCGCTGCCGCGCGGCCGCCGCCTGCTGGCCCTTCTTGATGGGCCCGTTTTCCACCACCACCACCACAAGTTGGAGGGGGGAAGGAGGTGGAGGACGAGGAGGAGGAGGACGAGGAGGAGGAGGACGACGAGGAGGACGACGAGGAGGAGGAGGAGGACGAGGAGGATGACGAGGAGGAGGACGACGACGAGGAGGAGGACGAGGAGGATGAGGACGAGGAGGAGGAGGAGGAGGATGAGGAGGACCCCCTCCCCCTCCAACTCATGGTGGTGGTGGTGGTGGAAAACAGTCCCATCGCTTCAGCTCCCGGCCCGAGGCGAAGCTCCAGAAGGCGAAGAAGGCGCAGAAGAAGGAGGCCGCGCGGTAGCCGTGGGCTCGCGGGCGAAGTTTTCGTAGGGCGCCCGCATGCCCAGAGACGTGCATCGCGCCGTGGCAAAGTCTGGGCGGGAGGTCTCTGGTCGTTCTGGGCCTCTGGGGGGCCCTTGCCTGGGCCCTGGGGCCGTCAAGCAACGATTTCTCGGGGGCGTGACTGGGGGGGGGTGGGATATCATGGCGTGGGCCATGATAGTTCCACTGATTTCATGGCGCCTCTTCTTCTTTCATTACGTCCCTGGGCCCCCCCCTGGGCCGCCCACATGCCGCCAGCCATGATTTGCGCCCCCCCCTCTTTGACGCCCCCTTGTGGCCGCCCCCGAGATTTGGGGTGAAGAGCCCGTCCCGGGGAACGGGTCGGACCGTCTGCGGACCCCGTAGGGAAAGCAAGTCAGGGTTACCGCTGGCCCGGTGTTGTGTGTGCGTGTGCAGGTGTTGTCGCCCGCTTGTGCTCTGTCTCCCCAATTAGTGCTTTGCGCAGCCCACCTAGCTCTTAACTGGAAGAGGCTCGCTCTCGAACCGCAGACCAAAAAAGTGCGTGTGCAGGTGTCGTTCCAATGTTGTTTTGCACTTCCTGCGTCACCGCCAGCCCGTGCAGGGACCAGTGTTGCGCCCCTCCTTTGGTTCCTGAGACTCCACGGGCGAGGAGGGCAACGGGACGAGGAAGAGAAAAAGGAGGAGAAGGAGGGAGTAGGGAGGAGGAGGAGGGAAGAGGGGGGGGGGAGGGGGAGGAGGGAGGGAGGAGGAGGGAGGATGGAGGGAGGAGCGAGGAGCGAGGGGAAGGAGGGAGAACGGAGGAGGGAGGGGGGAGGAGTGAGGAGGAAGACGGAGGAGGGAGGACGAGGGGAGAAGGGAGGAGGGAGGATACGAGCAGGAGGTGGAGGAGGATGAGGAGACGTGGCGGAGGAGGAGGAGGAGGACCAGTGCAATCCCAAGACGCATCAACGATATTGAAACACAAATATGTCACCCCAAGTGTCCTTTCAACAGGCCCCTGCAATCATTTATTATCACTGCTCGAAGTGTTCTGTTGGGATACAACCGTCTGAGAGTCCGCAATCGTGCCAGAACGCACCGTAACATAACTCCGTGGATTTCAACGACACGAGTCAACTTGACCGTTGCGCCTTGACGATTCCAGGTCGTGCCAGAACGCCGTTCCTCAGACTTCAACTACGCAAGTAACTGAGCACTGCGCCCTGACAATCCTATTTCGTGCCTGGGCACCAATCCTGTGGTGCCAGCTATAAGAACCCGCTCAACCGTTGTATACGTTGAAAACGAAAGTGCAGGTCGCTAAGGCGAGACCCCCAGTTTGAAGACGGCCCGCACCCCATCCGTGAAGCTCCTGCTGACGTTCATGACGAGTGTGCGCGGCGCCACAGGCGCGAGTCACACCTGAAAACCACCCGCCCTCCGTCCGTGATGCTCCTGCAACAGATTCAGACGAATGTGCGCGGCGCGAAGGCGAGAGCCACATGTTGAACACGACCCGCTCCCAATCCTGCAAACTCTTGTAACATATAAAAACGAACGCGTAATCGCGGCGCGGAGGCGAGAGGCACGTTTTGAAAAGAACCCGCCGCTCCATCCATGACATTCCTACGAACGTTTCACCAGAATGTGCGCGGCGCCATGGCGAGAACCACATTTCGGAAATGATCCGCCCCCCCATCCGTGAAACCCCTGCAACCTTTTCTGACACATGCGCGCGGCGCCAAGGCGAGCACCACCTTTTGAAAACCACCCGCCCTCCCTCCTTGAACGTTTCGCAATGCTACGCATCCGGATCACAGATGGTGAGGAAGTCTCCGGAGACACGCCTGGCCCGCCCTGCCGACATGTTTCGGGGCGCGACAGAGAGGAGTTATTGAGTAAAGCGGATGGAGGGGGAGGGAGGGAGGGGGGGGAGGGAGGGGATGGAGGGCCAGGGAGGGCCAGGGAGGGAGGAGAGGGAGGAGAGGGAGGGGAGGGAGGGGAGGGAGGCAAGTTAGGTGCGCTCGCGTCAACATCTGACATCCTACCCCTCCCTCCCATCCCTTACCATGGCGCTGATTTTCTCTATCCGCGGACGCGTGTCGTAGCGGACCTGTGGCTCCGCGCGCGTGTGCGTAGTGGGTGGTGGTGCGCGTGCGTGCGTGCGTGTGTGCGTGGTTGTGGTTGTTGTGGTGGTGGTGGTGTGTATGTGTGTGTGTGTGTGCGTGTGTGCGCGTGTGCTGTGGTGTGACGTGGTGTGGCGTCTTGGTGGTTTGGTGGTGGGCCAGGTGCGTACGTGCGTGATGGCGGTGGTGGTGGTGGCGGTGGTGGTGTGTGTGTGTGTGTGTGTGTGTGTCTGTGTGTGTGTGCGTGTGTGTGTGTGTGCGTGTGTGTGTGTGTGTGTGTGCGTGCGTGTGTGCGTGTGTGTGTGTGTGTGTGTGTGTGTGTGTGTGTGTGTGTGTGTGTGTGTGTGTGTGTGCGTGCGTGCGTGCGTGCGTGCGTGCGTGCGTGCGTGCGTGCGTGCGTGCGTGCGTGCGTGCGTGCGTGCGTGCGTGCGTGCGTGCGTGCGTGCGTGCGTGCGTGCGTGCGTGCGTGCGTGCGTGCGTGCGTGCGTGCGTGCGTGCGTGTGCTGTGTGTGCGCGCGTGTGATGTGGTGTGACGCGGTGTAGCGTGGTGGTGGTGGGTGGGGTAGTGCGGTGGTGGTGGCGGTGCGCGGTGGTGGTGCGCGTGCGTGCGTGCGTGCGTTGGTGGGTGGAAGTGGCGGTGGGTGTGCGTGGCGGGGCGGGGCGTGGTGCGGCGCGGTGGTGGCGGGCGGATGGGCGCGCGAGAAAGAGGCCCGCGCTGGGGCGAGAACGCCATCCTGAACGACGGAGGCAAACACCGATCCGAAAATGAGGCCCACGCTGCAGCGGGAGCACGATTCGGAACGATTCGGGAGCAGAAATGAGGCCGGCGCCTCAGCGAGAGCAGCATTTTGAAAAAAAACGCAGGCGAAAACCCAACTCCCGGGAATCCTGTGTGTAAAATACAATACGCGGGGGGGGGTCGAATATTCCCAGGACGCCATCAGGGGAAGAGGGAGAGTAGTATTCATATTGAGTAATTATGGAGGGAGAGGGGGGAGGGAGGGAGGGGAGGGAGGGGATGGAGGGGGAGGGAGGGGTCCAACTGAGGGGCGCAAGGCGCGAAGGCCCGCCCGCCCCGATTCTGGGACCGCCGCCGGGGCATTTTCCTCTGGGACCCGCTCTGGCCACATGCCGACGAGCGTGTTGTTGTTACGACAAAAATGAGCACGGACAGCAAGGTTACCCTTGCATCCGTCCCCTCGGGCCCGTCCGTGGCCACTTTCGCTGGCCGCGCCCCGCTCGAAGAGTGTCGACATGGCTTTCCAAGGCCCCTGCATCCTGTTTCCGCATCCTTCTTCTACTCGTGGACTGTGTTCCGGCCTCTCCTTCTGCCTCGCCGCAGTCTCTCAACGACTGCCCTGCTGCCGCCTGCTGCCTCGCAGGGCCCTTGAACACCTTGGCGCGCCGGCGCGCGCGACAGGAATGAGAACGCAGCCGCTTTCGGTGCGGGTCCCGTCCCCGCTCGCATCATCACATCCCCCATTACAGTCGGACCGAGGTATAAGAGCGAGGTCGGTTCGGGGAGGGTGCCCGAATGTCCTTCGTGCTTGTTGCATGTTCTGGTGCACCCTGGGAAGGGTACCCTTGGATGCTCTGTGCGTTCTGGCCGGCAGAGGGTGTCTTGTCATTGAGGGATGCTTCTTTGTTTGGGGTCCGATTGTGTTGCCCGTTGCCGCAGGCAGTGGCACCCACGGAGTGGGGCAGGGCTGGTCCGAAACGCTGTTTTGCTGGATTCCGGCTGTGTTCTGTTTTTCGTTCTGGCGGGGAGGCGCAGAGCAAAAGAAAACAAAACGAAAAACATAACGTCGAGGCCCAGCCTTGGGGAAGGGGACGACACGGGGCCAGCCGCCGGAACGCGGCCGCCGCTCCGCCCTCCGCGGGTGCCGCCCGAGGACCTGCTCCGCCAGGAGGGCAAGTGAGCGCCGCCGCCCGCGCCCCGTGCGGAGCTTCCCCCAGCGCGGGGTGCCCGGCGACGTCCCTCGACGGCCCAGGGTGGAAGAAGAAACAACGGCACGAGCATAAACTGTTGGCGCTCCGCGCGGCTTTCTTGGATCCGCGCCGGCCCCCCTCTGGCGTCGCCTCCGGCGCCGCCCCCTGCCCGCTCCGCGCGCCAGGGCGGGGGGGTTCAGCGCGGGTCCGAGAGATCCGCGCGGAGCGCCAGAAGTTTTTATTCTTATGCCGTTGTTTCTTCTTCTGCAGAGGAGAAACGCATACGAGCTCGCAGGCAGCGGCATGCGAGCACCACCTGGGCACCACCGCTCGAGGGGCTACTGGGTGTCCGAGGCCTGCTCCAACAGGCATCGGACGTCGAAGCACAAATCAGCGCAAACGCAAGCTCAGAGAGGTCCGCTCGTACAGTTGGGTCGAAGGTTAAGAGCAACCCTAGCTTTGGAAGGACACAGCTTAGCTCTTAGTGTTTAGCATCCCCGCCCTTCGAATGTTCTTCTTTCTGGACACCTCCATGGGGCCTCGGGGCCTTCGGCGAGAGGGGTCGTGTTCTTGACTCGCGCTCTTTTCGTTGATACGTTTCCATGGACTGAGGGCGGGTCGTTTTCAAAATGTGGCTCTCGCCTTAGCGCCGCGCATATTCGTTTTCAACATTTGCAAGGGTTTCACGGATTGAGGGCGGGTCGTTTTCAAAATGTGGCTCTCGCCTCAGCGCCGCGCACATTCGTTTTCAACATTTGCAAGGGTTTCACGGATTGAGGGCGGGTCGTTTTCAAAATGTGGTTCTCGTCTCAGCGCCGCGCACATTCGTTTTATGAAGGATTGAGGGCGGGTCGTTTTCAGTAATTGCAAGAGCGTCATGGATTGAGGGTGTTTTTTTCTCAGCATGTGGTTCTCGCCTTAGCTACGCGCGCACTCGTTTTTTATTGTTATGAAAAAACTAGCAAAAGTTTAAGGGCTTCACGGATTCCCATGATCAGCGTACCAGAAATGGGGCTATGGAAAACAATTATGCGGGCGCAGCATTTGGGTGGATTCGTTGCGCTCTGGCACGGTTCCGGATCGCCAGAACGCAGCAGTCAGTATGATACGTGGTGGTGAAATCCCAAGAACAATAGTTTGGCATGCTTCAGGATCTCTAAGCGGTTGTCTTCCAACGATGCAGTTCCCTCAATGGACTTGAACCGTGGTAGGGGCCTATGGAGAGGGAGCTTGGAGGGAGGGTTAATCCCAACATCATTGATGTCTCTTGGGTTTACACTGGTCCTCCTCCTCCTCCTTTCTTCCTCCTCCTCCTCCTCCTCGATCCTCCTCCTTGATCCTCCCCCTTCACGTGCACGGGCGTGGACACCGCCACGCCCGCGCACGTGAAAGCGACCTCTGTCGCCAGTGGAGCACCTGTCGGCGAGAAAGGGGAGAAGTGAAAATGACAAGGCACTCTCAGAAGGCGGCTGGGCTTCTCAGAAGCCGTTCAGCCTTCTGGAAGGTTTTCCGTGTATTCGGGGGAGCCGGGGTGCTTTCGAGCCTTCAGAGGAGGCCTTCTCCTTCTCATTTCCCCTAGGCTCGCCGCCGAGACGTGGCTGGGCGCGCAGGATCAAGACGCTGAGGCTGATGTAGGGGCTCGAGGAGGTACAGTTTGAAACGTATCCCTATCCCTATGTTTGGCATCACCTTACCTCTGCGCCGATCTGAAGGATCCCTCGTTTTCTGAGGGCACATCTCCAATGTTGTCATCTCTGTTGGCTGGCCAACCTCAGGGATAGGGATAAGTTCGAGTCTGGTGGGGCATATCCGTGTACGTGCTTGGACGCGTACGGCCAAAGCGCTGATGTTCGAGCAAGGGGATCGACTACAGAGTTGATTTGCTCTAGATTTGTCGTTTCGCCGATGTTGCCACAAATGCGCAGAGTGCTCAGCTGACATACTGAGCATTATGCTGATTTTCGGCGCTTCGATGTAAATCACCAGCTGTGGGGTACACCCATTCTGTAGTCGACGCCCTACTCGAGAAGTGAGGGGCGCTTGGGGTGCGGCAGGGGCTCGGGCCTCCAGGCCGCTCCACAGGTCCAGGTCGGGGAACCTGGCCGAGGCCGAGGCCACTGCGGCCCGAGAAGCCCCTGCGTTCCCCACGGGGCGCTCCCTCCTGGCAGCACGATGGCCGCCCTGGTGGTCGTCAGCATGGAGCTGCTCGGACTGGGCAGCGGCGGGTGGCGGCCGCGGACGCGGCCCCGCCCGTGGCGGGGCGCTGCCGCGCGCCGGCTGGGCTGCGGCCCCGTCTCGTGGTGGCCGTCTCTGCTTCCGAGAGCGTCGCTTCTGCCCTTGGAGAGCAGTTGTTCTAAGAGCGCGTCGTGGTAGGCCTACAGGAAGATGCCGGGAGGGTGTGCCCCTGGTCCACATGGGCGCCGGCGTCGTGCTCGGGGGCGCGCGTCGGCTGCACGGGCGCGGGGGGCGGTCCTCCTTCGGGGTGGCGACGCGCCTGGGTCCCCGGAGGGCCCGGCGAGGGGGCGGAGGGCCGCCAGGGGGGCCCAGCCGCCAGGTCTGCGCTCCTCTCCCCGAGCTCCGAGAGCGCGGCGAGCGCATCCACATCCACGCGCGCGCGATCCGGATGTCGGGGCCCAGCCGCCAGGTCTGCGCTTCTCTCCCTGAACTCTCCAAGAGCGCGGCGAGCGCCTCCACATCCACGCACGCGCGATCTGGACTTCGGGGCGCGGCCCCGTGGAGGAGCGGTCGCACGGGCACGCTCCGCCGGGAGCAGCCGCGAGGGCGCGCCCCGTGTCCGCGGGGTCGTTGGTGCGGGTATGCGGGGCCGGCCAGGGAGGGCCGCTGAGGCACTGGTGGCCCAGGTTCCCGGCCAGTGAGGCCGTTGGTGCGGATCTGCGGATCCATCTGTCGCCCACGGTGAGCGGCCCAGTCTGTCTCGCCTCCTGTGTTGCTCATTCGACTCCCTTGTCTGTCCCCTCCTCCGCGACCGCTCTTGGAGGTCGGAGGTGTTCCCCCCCCCCTCTCTCTCCCCTGTCCCTCTCCTCCTCCCATTATTCGCTTATTTCCCCACCCCAACTATTCGTGCTCTTCTTCCTCCGCCACTTCAGCATCATATCAATTCCATGGTACGTTATCCGTTATCATCTCATGCCAGATCATATCATATCCATAGCAGGGCTTACCAAATCAAGCCATAGCATAAGCGTATCCGTTACCATACCCGTTATCATATCAATTCATAGCATATCATATCATATCATAGCACTACATCAGTGTACCCTTATCTTGACGCATCCATTAGACTTCCATTCCGGTAGCAGTCGCCCTCCTCGCGACTTCCTCCCTCCTGCTGCTCCTTCTCCCCCTCATCCGTTTGCCCCGCCGAAAGAGAGAAGTTCGGCCACGCGCAGAAGAGGGTAGTGGGGGGGGGGAGGCTTCCTAGAAACACCCATGATTCTTAGAAGGCGCGGGCCTTGTCTGTGGATGTAGGGCCAGCGTTTTCGAAGAGGAAGCCTCCTTCTAAAAAGCCTTCCCTTATTTCTCTTCTTTGCGCGCGGTGCCAAGAAGTCACCAGAATCCGTTACAACCGCTACCGCAACTGTCGTTGTCTAGACCATGCGTCGTTGGATCGTTCAGGAGACGGACGACGACGAAGAAGCTTTTGCGCTCCGCGAGGCCGTGAAACAGCTTGTGCCAGGACTGTGGTTCTGGACAGAGGCCACGGGAGACAGGGATGGATGGAGAGAGGGAATGATGATGGTGATGGTGATGGTGTTGGTGATGTTTTCGATGATGGTGCTGGTGTTGGTGATCGTGATGATGTGATTGATGATGATGGCACTCGGGCTCTGTGGATGAGTCGTGATAAGGTGGGTCTTGAAACCGGTGCTGCTGCTGGGCGGAGAATGCTGGTGACGAGGGTGCAGGTGACGAGGATGCTGATGGTGCTGATGATGGTAGTGATTGATGGCCGTGATAGTGAAGATGGCAGAAGATGGCAGAAGAGGAGGAGGAGGAGGAGGATGAGGAGGAGGAGGCGCCCCGACGGCGAGGAGGAGGAGGAGGAGGACGAGGAGGAGGAGGTGGCCCCCGCCCCCCGACGCGGGATGCCTGGGTTCCGGGCACCACTTCCAGCCTCCCGCGGCCGCTCGGGACGTCCCGGGCCGCGCCCCCAACGAGACGCCGCTCTGCTGGAGGATGAGCCCGAGGCGAGGAAACCCCCCCGAGCACGCGCCAACCGCCAAAACATAAAAATATCCCGCCGTGACCCTGTTCTACGACGCCTCGCAGAGGCCCCCCCCCGCGCGCGCAGGCGCGCCCACTCTCCTGCCGAGGGGCCCTCCCGGCCCCCCCCCCCCTCGGGGCGGCCATGCGGGGGCCCCGATGCGCCTAGCGGTCCGCTCGGGGCGCGGCGGCCGCCTGCGCCGGACCGCACCGCTGCGGCGTCCGTCGTCGCCGGCCATCGGCCGCCGGCGTCGTCGTCGGCCGTCGGCCGTCGGCCGTCGGTGGGCGTCGGTCGTCGTCGGCCGCCGCCGTCGCCACCTTTTCAAAGCCGTGTTCGCGGGTTCTCGGCCGCTTTCCAGCCTCGGGGTGTGGTTTCCCGGCAGCTGCGCCTCGCCGAGAGCGTTCCGTTGGTTCCTGGAGCGTTCCGAACGGCCGCTGGAGACCTGGAACTGACACGAAAAGTGCCACCGTCTTCGTCGTCGTCGTCGGCCTTCGTCGCCGTCGTCGTCGGCCTCCGTCGTCATCGTCGTCGGCCGTTGTCGTCATCGACGTTGTCGTCGTCGTCGGCGTCGTCGTCTTCCTTTGTCGTCGGTCGTCTTCATTTTTCGTTGTCGTTGTTGTCGTCGTCGCCGCTGTCTCCGCCACCCGTCGACGTCGATGACGTCGGCGTCGGCATTGCTCATGGCGGCCCTGGTAGCTTCTGGCCAGATCGCGTGCCAGGCTCGATTCGGCTGGTTCGGGCGATGGTGCTCCTCCTCTCCTCGACTCCTCCTCTTTTATCCTCGCTCCCTCCTGCTCCCGTCTTTTCTCCTCCTTTCCTCGATCCTCTTTCCACCGCTTCCTCCAGTTACAACTCCCAGGAGGTTGAATTCGGCATCGGCGCGTGAACACCCCAGACCGAAAACGGTCCCAATCGGGCGTCATCCCTGCTGATCTGGCTTACTCTGGCCCGGCCCTGAGATTCATCTGGCTGAATTTGGCTTCACGTGGCTTCATGACCCGTCGATCGGATTTGACATCCCGTAGCCATTTCGACAAGGACCTTCCAGGAGTTGGCTTCTGAGCCTCCTCCCGCGCCTCTCAGATTGTCGCGCTTGCCACGAGCATGGGGGCTGTCAAACAACCTCTAGGGATGAAAAGCCGGCCCGGGGGAAACACTTCGGGATCCAG